TTCCTTAGTGTTTCATGAGCTGCCATGTACTTTGTGAGCTGTTTGTGAGCTGCATATGTCGTCCAAATCATTCACCAAGCTACCTCAACGTGCATCACACTCCAATGTACCTATATGTGCAAGGAAACAAGGTAAGTCCATGATATTGAGCTGTTATGAGCTAAATACCTTGCTGCCATGTATGATTATGGTGATGTGAGCTATGTTCGAAGGTCATGGGCTAATTATATCACCTCAAAATATATGTAAGATAATGCATGAAGCTTAAAAGCTAATATGAATGAACTAATGAAATGATTTATAATGATGCTGCCTTGATGTATATATGATAATCATGCCTAATATGATTATAAGACTATCCTAACATGCTTAAATATCAATGTGCATGCTGCGTTCATACTAAGCATTTATTAACTACATAACAAGAATTCTTATCATAAAATGTATTATAAAAGCATATAGTATATAACTAATATAAAGTAAATTCAATATAAAGATGTTCAAGAGTTGATATTATGAATAATTATTATAGTACAAACTGGTCTAAAATAAAAGATTAAAAGGCTAAGTGCCTGTGAGGCCTAATTGTGCATTTGACAGAAAGATGTCAATTATGTCAGTTAGATGAAAGGCTAAGTGCCTTTGAGGCCTAACTGTGCATTTGACAGAATGGTGTCAATTATGCCAGTTAGATGAAAGGCTAAGTGCCTTTGAGACTTAACTGTGCATTTGAGGCCTAACTGTGCATTTGACAGAAATGTATCAATTATGCCAGTTAGATGAAATGCTAAGTGTCTTTGAGGCCTAACTGTGCATTTGATAGAAAGGTGTCAATTATGCCAGTTAGATGAACGATTAAAGATTGTTGAGTAAAAAATAAGTGGCCTAGCGGTGCATTTGAAAGAAAGGTGTCAATTATGCCAGTTAGATGAACGGTTAAAGACCGTTGAGTAAAAGATACATGGCCTAGTTGTGCATTTGGCAGATGAGTGTCAATCATGCAAGTTAGATGAAAAGTTAAATGCCTTTAGGTAAAAGATTAAAGGAATTATAATGCATTTGGTTATAAATGGTGCATAAGTGATAAGAAAGGATGCCATATAGATATAAAATGTACAACAATGCATAATTGGTATGAATGGATGTCATAAAGGAAAAAAGTAAATAGTACATAATAGGTATGAAAGGATGCCCAAATGAAAATACAAAATGGTGTATTAACAGTAGTTAAGATGCTACCCATAATAATTATAAAAGATACATGATCAATTGGCAATTTGGTGCAATACATGTATAATACGTTCTAATTTAACGTACGCCGTGCAAATAAAGAATAATTGGGAAAATATATAAGGATAGAGAGGCTAGGCATGCTAAGAATAATTTAGATGACTTATTGAAAGAATTATGGTGTAGCTGAGAAGGGCTTATCTGGTCTTTATGGAGTTTGCAATTTAAATCGTAAATCAATATTCATAAGATATTTATGTAGAAAGTGATATCTTTGCAGTATTATGTCTCACTAAGTAATTATTTAACTTGTGTTGATTTCACACGTAGGTAAAGGCAAAGATTAGTTGCATAAGGAGTGCAACTTTATCAGCAACGATCATCAATTAAGGTTAACCCGTCAATAACGTTAGGACAATCTTATTTCTTTTGAAAACTTAGTTGGCATATAATGGAACTAAATTAAATATGTTGTAATGTATTTAAATTAATAGTTTTAGTATTTTTTCTATATGAATATCATATTTTGAGGTTGTTAAAAATTGAAACAAAATTCTACGGGTTTTCAAATGACAATATTTTAAAAATGATATGACATTCGTATCTCGTGTACAGAAAGATATACGAGAGATGAGTGTTACAGGATATGCATCATCAAATTCTTGTGGTGAATTCAGATTCCATTAGCTAGGTCTTCAGTTACAAACATGAATTTACGGTCAGAAGAAAATATTTAGAGAGAGATTCAGAAGATTGAAGTTGGGAGTCTAGTGTGTTCCTACAAAACAGAGAAATGTGTACAGATCCTTGAAAACATAAGTAGTTTAAAACATATTTTAAAACCACAGTAATACTCTCCAACCAAACACTGATATGCAGTTCCCCAGAACTGTATCCATAAGGACTTACCCTAGGCCCATTGGGCGTACGATTCAACCTAAGGGATTATCTTGAGGCTTGAGAGCCTACCCAAGGGAGTACATTAAAGCCTAAGAGTCTACCTAAGGAAGTACCTTGGGGCGTTATAGCCTACCTAAGGAAATGCCTTGGGGCCTTAGAGCCTACCCAAGTTCACCTTAGGTCCGTAAGGAATTACTAGCTTGATCAGACCTGAACCTCCATACTCCAGAATCCTACGCAGACAGTATCCCAATAATAGGTTCATACAGTAAACAATAGATTTCATGATACATAAATCAGGAACGATTATATTTTCCAGTGAAAACAGGTAACCAGAGAGCACATATCATGTAGTCATAGTTCATAAACAGTAAATCAATATATTAGTAAATCATAATATCGACCAATTAGATTCAGTAAATAAAATCGTTTTCCTAGGCTGACAGATGACGCGTGATAGTTTTCCTGTCGTGCGGTGCGATGCCTCCAGACGTCAATTCGGCATGAAATTTTCTAGATTTGAAGCTCAAAGCTCAATGAGTCGCTTACCAGTGTCATTTTTCGGTGAAGAATGCCGGAGGATATTTTTCACGAACTGTCGAAACATCTCCTCACTCACCCCACTCAATGATGACAGTAAAGTCAACTTCATTGGTACCAATAGAAGTGAAACTTCAAGCTGGTTCACTTGGTGCAGACAGTGAGACTCACCAATGGGTGGACGACAATGAAACGACAAAAATAACGATAGACGCTTGGTTTCACGATGAGCGTTCGAATGATGAATCACGTTAAACAACGATGTCCGACGGTTAGGGGTTGGATTGGTTTTTGGTCGTTAGAGGTTGACAATCACTCTGGTCTAGGCGGTGACAGCCACGAAGGTCGAACGAAGAAGAATTAGGGAGGGCTGATGGGGAGTGGCTAGGGATTGGTGTTGGGAAATTTGAAGATTTTGTGTGCTCTCCCGAATTTAACCAATAACATATATATTTAATAAAAATATCAAAAACAGAACCCTAGCCTAAACGGTTAGGGCATGGGCAACCATCTTGGGGAGAAGGGTTTGAAACCCCAACCTTCAACTCCATTTTTTAACTGTCCAGAAAAATGGAAAAATTAATGATTAAGTTTGTAAACTTTCTAAAGCTTCTAAACCAAATTACAAATTTTGAAAACTTGCAATTTAGTCCCCAAATTAAGTAATTAATTTATAATTTATTTTGTTTTTATTTTAAAAAATAGGGTTGTGACATAGAAGGTTTATTAATGTTAGACTTATTGATTGAATTTTTAAGTGATGCTATGCATTGTGATTCTAAATAGATTTAGTCTCTATGTATTGTGATTTTAATTAGATTTACCCATATATTTAAGTTCCGATGTTCAAATTATTTGAGAAAATTTATAATTCTAATTAGCTTTGAATTCGAACTGTTCCTAAATTCAAATGTGTCATTCTACCCGAATAAACGTTCGGGCCGAGTTGGGGAATTACATAGGCCTGAGCTTCACCAACAGTGTGTTTTAGCTACATGGCATTCTTTCTTGAGCACAGGATTGTTTGAGATTCATTAACCCTTCATGGATCATGATATATGCATGGAGGGGTAAAATTATCTATTTTTGAGAAAAAATTGAAGGTTGAAACATAATTCATTTGCTATAATTTTTTAATAAAACATGGGTATTTTTTGATTAGCATATTGTCATAACCATTTTTTTTATAATTAATTAATTAATTTAATTTAATAATAATTATGACTTTGTTTTGATAAATTTATATTTTTGTTTAATTTAAAATTTAGAGTCGTCATTGACCTTTGAGTTAGATAAGTCAAATACATAAAAATGTCTTTTAAAACAATTTTAAGAAAATAATTTTTAAGACAAAAATTGATATGCATTTACCAAATATTTATTTTAAAGGGTACATAATTTGATTGCACATGGAGAACGATAAACACTCCCACAACACCTAAAATTAGTACATCTCAATCATACATTGTATAAGCAGTGAAATTTTACATAGTTGAATTCAAAATTTAAATTATAATCATTTTTTTCTATGAATTTTAAAATTAAGTGAATTTATTTATAAAATTAGTATACTCAATAAAAGTATTTAATTCACCCGATTTTATATAAAAAGGATGTCACTTTTACTACGTGAATGAATGAAAATTAAAATCCAATCATATTGGACACATTCATTAACTTGAGACGCAAAACAATATTGTCTTTAATTGTTTTAGAAAATAAGAAAACTAAGGAGTACGAATGCAACAATAATAAACAACATATACAAAATAGATGAAATACTCGCATATAAAAAATGGTAAATAATAAAAATGTAATCAAAATTTGTATATGAAAATTCAAAGTTTATTTACTTTAATACTTAGTAAAAAATAAATATTATACAATAAATATAAAACAAAGCTAGAAGGACCTATAGCATAAATATTTCCCAGCATATAAACACCGAGGACTAAAATGCTTATGCTCGAAACTATTAGCCAGGGTCACAGATTAATCCAAAACATGTTAATGCAAATAATGACTAGAATGGAAATTGTCATAATAACATTGCCAAAAGTAATAAATAACATAAATATGGTAATACACGAATAAAGACCAAAATAGAAGCATAACTAAATTAATGGTTAGAATCATAAACAAAATAGATTCCATTCAATGATCAGAAATGAGAGATTACAAGAAAGGGGACCTATAGTGAGAATATCCCCTAAATCCAAAACAAATGGTTCTCATGGCGCCCAAAACGATGCAGTTTCCATGATTCCATATCAACCAACATAAGGGTTTTCATAAACCTAAAACTTGTTTATTTAGCCCTTTGTCACCTCTCTCCTCTCTTTAATTCTCTTTTTTTATTTATGGATAGAGGAAACCCACCGTGAAAGGTGCTGCCATAACCACAAATGGTGGTCGAAACTCACACAAGGCTCTCAAAACAAGCATTCGGTCCCCCATAGTTAGAAATCAAACCATGTTTTCTCTAAAACTAAACATAAAACCCTAGATATAGGAAAATCATATAAGGTTTTACCTGTTCTCCGGTGACCCTTAGCTTCCCGACGAGATTCTGAACCTAAAAATGTAAGCTTTTCCCTCGATTTTTCTTTTCTTTCATTTTTTCGAATGCCTTTTTTTCCTCGTTTTTTTAATCTGTTATCTCCCGATTTTCTCGAATCTCTTTTTTTTCCGAATGACTCCCCCCCTTTTATTGTGATTTTCAGTTCTCATTTTTTATGGCCGCATGTGTGATTTCTCTCTACTATTGTGCTGCCGAAAAAGACAAGGGTGGACAACGACGACGTTGTGGCAGAAGTGAGGATTAGGGTGAAACCCTATTATCACATCTTATTTGGGTTGTTGGATCAAGCATAGATACAACAATTAAGATCATCTGGTGGCTGGGAGTATGACAAAACCCTAGGGCCTCGTTTGGTTCACGGATTTTTTCATTCATGGGAGGAATATTTTTTTCGGGTTAAGATACCCACGTTTGGATGTGTCACATTACCAAGTGAGGGTAAAAATTAAATACCAACAATGGTTTTTTTGTTCTGTTTTACTGGGAATCCAAATACCACATCTCCCTTAGGTATTTGTTTATTCCCGTCCTCTGTTTGCTAAAATACCCTTCTCCCCGTTAGCTTGGTTCTGGCTGAAACAAAATTTCTTCTTCTTCGATTTGACGAGAGTTGTTGCGAAGAGCTGTCCATTACTGCTCCAACGGACTTCTTCTTCTGTGGTGCTCTAGCTCTAGCTCTATATGTTAATCTGTTGCTAGGTTCGTCTCTCTCTCTCCCTATTTGTAGTTTTTGTTCCTCCCCAGTAGTACTGTTAAATCCACACATTTCTATTATTCAAAGGTTACTCCACCATCTTTGTCTTCTTAGTTTGTCTTGTCCAACACTCGATCTTGAACTGGACTTTGATGGGTCTTTGGTTTCGATTTTAGTTATTTCGTATGATTCGTCGAGTTGATGGTTGAATTTGAAAATTGGGTTTTCATGATCTTGGGAAATTATTGTTCGCTTTCTTTCATGGTCTAGGGAAACAAAGGGCCCCACATCATACACGTTTAGGTCACTGTATTGGGGATTTTCTACATGGAATGGAGAATTGTTAACCTATGGGTTTGATTTTAACGTTGGTGATGGTATTGGGTTTCACAAGGTTTGTTGATTTTTGAAACACTATCATGACACCAACTTCACACCTAAAAACTTTATCAGATTAGACATGATTGTGAATCTAGAAAGTTTACGCCATATTCGTATTTAGGTTAAACATTAGGGGATTCAAAGTTTTTAATCCATATTCTATATTATTTACAGGTTTAGCTAAAACATTAAGTGAAGAACTTGATCTACACCCCACTTAAAATCGTAAAATATCATTCGAATTTAAATTTATAGGGAAGAGTTTAACGGACAACATATCTGCATTTGATTTTTTTACTAATTTAGAAGAATTATAAGTGATACTCCCAATGATTTAATAGTGAATAATCGAATATATTGTATTCACTAGTGCTCGAACCTAAGACCTCTATAGATAACAATCTTCTTTTAACTATTGAGACCATATAACTCGTATAAATTTCTTAACATTGTTAATAGAATTGATATAAGTGGATGAAGTGGACGATAACTTAGAAAAGAAATTGAGACCTAAATTAGGGGCGACGAAAAATAATCCGTTATTATCTAGTTTTTGGGGTCTTAAAACTATATGTAGGGAAGATTTGGAGAAATACAAGGTATGAAAAAATGAATGCTTTTTGTTTTCTTTATGGCATGCTTTGACACGGTAAATACGTATGTATGAAAATTAGGGTGGGTAGAGACTAGAGATGATAGTAATTTAAAGTATGGCTATGGGCTATGGTTGAGACTGTTTTTAGAAATTTGAACTTTAATGATAAGAAAAATTTTGTAATATAGGTTGACAATGTTCAAAAAGAGTTTGCGTATATAAATGCTTTTTCATTCTTTAAGTATGTTCAATTGTTGATTTGATATTATAAAATATAATTTTAGGATGCTTTAATGCGCGTATGATGATGATTCAAAGAATGTCGAAACATTATATATATAAATATATAATGCTTTCATATCTGCTTTTATAATCTGCATTGCTTTTGATGTTACTACGTACTTTTAAGCTCTGTCCGAGAATGCTGTTTGTGTGAGATTTTAAACTTGAAGCTTGCTCTTCTTTTCGGGACCTGACATGTGTTTAGACTTCTAAATTGCTTCCAGTATTTGCTCCTATATTTTCTATAATTTTATAAGTTCATGTTAAACTCTTGATTTCTGTTTTTAATTACTTCAGAGCTGTTATTGTGATGACCCACAATTATTCTTGTTCAATATTATTATGTTCTAATATTAAAATGTTTGGTCATAATAACAGTTATGGCTTGTTTACCAATGCAAAAGAAGACGCATATTGCCACAATTCTTATTTTACAACTACAAACCATGGAGATTGTGTGTCATATGCTTATGGTTATTTTAGTTATTCTTAGAAAATATAAAAATAGACCTAAAATAAGTTATGCACACGAAAGACTTCATAGACATAATACTAGATCACTTAATTTACATAAAATTGTATTTGAAAGTGATAGACAGAGTGTTGATAATTGTCGAATGGATATGAGAACATTTCTCAAATTGTGTCACCTATTACAAAGTTAAGGTGAGTTAAAAGAGAGTCGATCAATGTCTATAGAAGAAATGGTTATTACTTTCCTTCATATTATATCCCGTCATATTAAGAATATAGTTCTAAAATGTCAAACAGTAAGATCTGGTGAAACAATTAGTAGAGTTCTTCATACAGTATTAGCTTCAGTCTTGAAACTGCATCCGATTCTTTTTAGAAAACCAGAACCGATACAAGATAATTCAATAGACGATAGATGAAAATGGTTTAAGGTATTGTATCATAATTCTGAAATTTCTTTTAAGTTAATTAGTAATGCTTAATACATAAATGGATACTAATAATGTAATTTAAATTTATTTGATGAATATAGAGATGTTTGGGTGCTCTAGATGGAACGCATATTAAGGTCAATGTAGCTTCAATCGATAAACCTAGGTACAAAACAAGAAAAAATGAAATTGCAACAAATATACTTGGTGTTTGCACACCAAACATACAACTCATTTATGTTTTACCTGAGTGGGAAAGTTCTGCAGCTGATGGTAGAATACTCAAAGATGCCATTAGTAGAAGAAATTGTTTAAATGTTCCACAAGGTAAATTATTAGGTCATTAATATATATATATATATATATATATATATATATATATATATATATATAGAATGTAAACTTCTTACAAGTTTTTCATATTAATTCACTTTTTAAATTAAAATAATATAGGGTGTTACTGCTTATGTGATGCTAGATATACGAATGGAGAGAGATTTCTTGCACCATATAGAGGTCAAAGATACCACTTGAATGATTAGAGAGAAGGACACCAACCTACCACCCCTCAAGAATATTTCAGCATGAAACATTCTCAAGCTAGGAATTGCATTAAGAGATGTTTTGGCATATTAAAAGCGAGATGGGCAATTTTAAGGGAAAAATCATTTTATCAAGTGAAAACATAATGTAGACTCATTTTCGCTTGTTGTCTTCTCCATAATTTCATAAGATTTGAGATGCCAATTGATCATATTGAATCTGACTATACTGAAAATAGTAGGCATGTTGAAGAGATTAATGAGGTAGTAATGATCAGACATTGTGAGCCAAGCAGTGCTTGGAGTGAGTGGAGAGACAAAGCACAAGATATGTTTACTAGTTGGTTGAGGTCACATACTTTAGGATAGATGTTATTTTATGTTATGTATGGACTATCACCATGTATTTTATCTAATGTTAGTGGTCATTACTTTCATGTATTTGTCATCTTTATATTTTATGGCATAAACTTTATTAAATTTTATGTATTTCTCTTTTATAAAATTTGAATTTTATTTGTTATGGATATTCATTACATATTATGTCATTCAATTCATTTGATTTCTGTTATGTTACTATTTAAATTTCATTTATGATTATTATTGACAATGATGACATGCTTTATGTTATGTTATACATTTTTATATACTTCTTAGATTGTTTCGAAGAGCAATATGTCAACATCAAATATGGAATCTCAAAGGAGGGAATAACGGACAACTGGAAAGGTTAAGTCTATAGTTACTAAAAGGACGTGGACTAAACATAAGGATGCTGCACTTGTTGAATGCTTACACATTTTGGCAGAAGACCCACATTGGAAAGTTGATAATGGAACATTTATATCAGGTTATCTATCTCATCTTGAAAAGATGTTAGAAATCAAGCTTCCAACATCACAAATTAGTGCCCATCCACATATTGAATATAGAGTAAAGATACTCAAAAGACAATACAATGCTTTATCAGAAATATTGAATATTGGAAGTGGATTCGGTTGGAATGAAGAAGAAAAATGTTTAACTGCACCAAAGGATGCGTTTGATGATTAGGTTAGAGTAAGTTTTTTAATTGAATTTATCTTTTTTCTGTACTCTTTGTTATCTATATAGGTAATTGTAATATTTATTAAATATGCGATTTTATTATATTGTAGAGTCATCCAACTGCTGCTGGATTGAGAAACAAGTAATTCCATTCTTTGACGACTTTGTTCAAATATTTGGAAAAGAAAGAGCAATAAGAACAACAGCTGATGGAGTGGAACATCTTGATGTTGAAGACAATACATTTATAGATGCATTTGTTGAAGAAGGGGGAGTAAGAGATTCTGAATAAAGAGAGGATGTTGGTCTTCAACTTGCCAAATATCTGATGCTACTGCCTCTACCCCTGTAATGAAAAAAGTAGCTAGCAAGAAAAGGTCTCGAAGTGATGATGGGTTAACAAAGCTTCTACAAGAGATAAGTAAGTTTGGTGCTGCATACCGAGAAACTGCCAAAGAAATTAAGGATATTACTGCTTTATTGAAAAAGGAGGCAGAAGGAAATGATCGAAGAATGTCAATTTTCATAGAAATCATGAAAATTGAAGGCCTCTCCAATGATGAAATGCTTACTGTAGGAGAGTATATTAGCAAAGATGTGCACAAGGTAGATTTCTTCTTTTCTTTGCCAAACGAATTCAAAAAAGATTATGTGATTAAGCAATTAGTTGAATGCCATCACTTCAGACCATCCTTTTAATAGTGGTTCTTCTAGAATTATGTCTATCTCTTTTTGATTTCGACTTTAGAATATGATCCCAACTTTTTTGTCTAGTTTCACTAGGTATATGTGAAGCTTTTAACTTGGAGAATGTTTTGTGTATATAATATAGCCAACATATATGATTAAGTTTAGAATGTCATGGTTATTATCTTTTGTAAGTCTGAATATTGTTGTTGCTTTGATGGTTAATGTATTTTTGTTCTGTAAGCTAAACAAAGAACGTAAGCTTATCTTTTATCCTTCAGTTTGCACTTTTGCTTTTCATTTTGACTTTAGAACATTGTTGTTGCTTCCCAGTGTTTCTCATAAATGTTGCATCGTAATGGGTATCTAGAATACCACATGTTTTGTATTCATATAGCTCTGTCTGCAAAATAAAATGAATCTGCTGTGTTGTAATAAAAAGGGCCTTGCAAAGTCAATAGGTTTATGCTCGATATTGGATGCTGAGTTATGGGGTCTTTACGAAAGTTTGAAGCTTCCATGGGAAATTTAGCTCCATACTTGTAAGATATTTATGCTAAACATTAGAATAACTAAGTGGACAGGAGAAAACTATCCCTTAATTATGTTTCGAACACCTATTTACTCCTCAATTTTTGTTCTTTATACCGGGTTGATCCTTATTCCATGTAAGACTGGCTTAAATTGTTTTACTATATTGGGATGGCAGGACATTACCAGGAATGGAATAAACAAGGAACGACAGAAGATGCTAACCGTGGCGGGGTAGTCACAATTAAAAATAATTAATAAACGATGTAAACTTCAACATAATTAAAACCCATTTCGAGAAATAAGAAATAGAAGCATTGTATGTGCTTTTAAAAAAGGGATTAATTGTTACCTCGACCATGTTAAAAATAAAATTGGGAATGGTTGCTAATGCTCTGCTCCAAACATGGACAAAATATTCAATAGTTAGATTTTTGAATCGAACTTCAATCTTCGGGAATTCCAATTCCACTCTGCAACACCACAAACTAGAGAAAATTTTAAACAACAATGAAGACCACTCTAGGGGAGAATAATAATAACAACATCAACCAATAACTTCAAAATAAATTGCTGAAATTATTGAATGAATAAATATAAATGTCGACATTAGCTTTCATCCGAGTGACGTTTATTATATATATGTTATATATAATAATATTATATTATAAATATTATTATTACAAAGCAAATCATAGGCCCAGTTAACACCAAACCCGAGCCCGATTCAAATTCAAGCCCAGACCTATCCAGGCCCAAATCCAGTAGGCCCATGAGCGAACCCAACTCTACTAAGGTTTCTCTCTATCTTCTCCAATCGCCAGCATATCCCAGCCGTTCGATCTCAACGCAGGTCAAGGATCCAGATCAAGCCAACAAAAACCCTAGAAACCCTAGGGTTATCATCTCACCGCCTCCACAGTTCAAGTCCGACACTGCCACGTGTCGAAACGATTTTTAAACGGCGTGGAAAAGCGCGTTATTTTTAATTATTTTCTTTACGATTGATTTTAATTAAAAATAATACGATTTTAGAAAACCTCTCGTTTCGAAAAATTGGAAATTCCTTTACGATGAAAAATAAGGTTCGGAGTCGCCACCAATCTTTGATTAGGGTGTGATTGGACACCCAAAACGTTGTCATTTAAATAAAAAAATATTTTAATTAAAACGACGAATTTGCGGTCTGCGTTATCAAAATCTGAGTTCGGGAGTCGGTTACGCGTGGGGAAGGATTAGCACCCCCACAGCGCCCTAAATCGGTACCTAGTCGATTAATTAATGTCTTTGCAGCGAATTTTACAAGTTCAACTTTAATTTAATTTTGATCCTTAAAACAACAAAGTGCAAATTTTATGGTATGCAAAAGCAACGAAATAAGTTAAGTTAAAATTACCAAGTCGTTAGAAAGATAATGATATCGATTATTTATAAATACCGAGACCAAATCTTTAGTTCAGTTCTAACGACCTTTTCTCGATAAATTTAAATAGTCGAGTGACAATGATGGGATACACTTGTAATTTAAAATCGTCAAGAACAACTTTCTGTAAGTTAAGAAAAGCCATTCTGACAGTTTTAAATTAAAAGGGTATTACCCTTAATCCGATTATGTGATTAGTTCAAGTTATGCACGTAAGACTATCATGCAAATTATGCTGATTGAATGTCATGCAAAGAGTAATAAATATTATGATTAAAATATCATGCAATGTGAAATACAAAAGAAAAAAATATACATATATTTTAATTTCAAAAAAAAAATAATAATAAACCACACATATTAACATATAATGTACAAACATGACTTAAATATAATAATAAAAACATGACATGCAAAACTATAAAATTAAAATATATATAGATATATACATATTTAAAAAGTGACTAAATATGAATAAAATCAAAACTAAACATACTAATCAAAAGTTAAACAAGGGTTAAACTATAAAGAAACTAAACAATAGGCTCATTTCATAAAACTTTCATTTCCATGTACTGCAAGCATAATATAACCAAAGTACTTCATAGGACCAAAATGAAAGTTTTCAAAATTACATATCCAAAGTATAAACAACATCAAAATAGCCCTAAACTGATTCTGGACCAAGATACAACATGCGGCAAATTAGGAGGTAAACTTAAGATACCAAAGAAGCTCGATTCAGGGACAAAAATGTAACAGGTTGAAACTGAAATGGCCTACACGCAGTTACCCCCCCAAAGCAAAACACAGAATACTTCCCCGGAGGTCAATACGACGCCGTTTTGGAACTAAACGGGACGACGCCGTTTTGGCGTACGAGACATCAGGGTATACCCCTAACCCTAGTCTCATTTCTTCTCAACCTAAACAGATGAAAACCCCCCCCAGCCGTTCTCTCTATCTCTCTCGCCTCTCAACCCCAGCTTGACCAGACGACTCCCCTGGCTACCACGGCCACCGCCGCCTTAAACAAATCTCTTAGATTTCCTCTCAAACGAAACCAAACGAAGCCCTAGCCTCCACAACCACCATGGTCTCTCGCTTCTCTCTGCTTTCCTTGGTCGAAACCCTCAGCAAACCCAACCGTGGCAGCCGCCGTGGCTGCCACCACTAAACTATCCTGACGAGAACCGCTCAGGTAAACCCTTTTCTCACTCTTCTAACCTCTTTAACCCTAAACCCGATCCTCACCGAGACCTCACAAAACCCCAACGAAGACCCCGATGAGAGCCTCCTCTCCTTTCTAGCCTTAAACCTTCACTCTTACGAAACCCACAACCCAAATATCACAACCACAAAGCCCATTGCCAACCACCGTGGCCAACAGACTCCGTTAAGGAGTTAAAACTGTACCCCAAACCCCGAACATGACCAAACTTACCCAGAACTAGCCCCCATAGACCCCGATGAAACCAAACACTGAAACAAAAGCATAATCGATAGCTTACCCTTGGTGACCCAACGGGGTTCGACTTTCAAATGGTGGTGATGGTTACTCTTTCACTCAAGGAGGTGAGGGTTTCGTTTTTCCTTTTGTTGTTTTTGCTCTGCGATTGCTGATCGTTTTTTTGGTTCGAGTCTTTTTGGTTGTTTTCTCCTTCTTCTTTTTTGTGTGTTTTTTTCTTTCTGTTTTCTCTCCTCTCGCTGATGATCCTTGATGGTTTCTTTTTTTCTTTTTTCAACCTTGGTCACTCTCTATATCTGTTTTTCGTTGTTGGTTTTCTCTCCTCGATTTCTCCGTGCCTCTCGTTCTGCTTCTTGTTTCGTGTGTTTGCAGGGCACTGGTGAGAGCAGATCACGGGCGGCAGCTGTGGGGAGCCGAGCTATTGTCCGGTTGGCGTGCGTGGTCTGGCAGCAGAGTTGGCTTCACGTGAGACTGCAGCTGGCTCGGGATGCTTGGGACGTTGTGAGCCGTTGGATCCTGATGCCAGATCCAACGGTGGTAGCTTGACGGCGCTGGAACCCTGACCAGAAACCCTAGTGGTCTTTGATCTGGACCGTTGGATGAGAAGCAGATCCAACGGTCCAGGACAAGCGGCGGCTGGATCCATAAGTTGGAAACCCTAATGGTTTTAGGGTTCTTCAAACAGGCTTGAACATCCAAGCCTGATTATTTTGATTTTTGGGCCACTTCGGTCCAGCTGGTTGTAATTTGGTATAGGCCCTGTAATAAAACATTTAATTAGTATACTCATATGTATTTTAATTGCTTAACATTCATTATAATTGCTTATTTGCTCATATATATATAAATATAACCAAACATTCATAGGTCGGTGACACATGGGGTTACTCCTCTTTAACCAGTCCGAAGAGTGAATCGACGAGGGCTATAAATAGCCTCGTTCCTGCAAGCAACAATAACAACAGGCAATGAAAGAGGAACCAACAAAAACAAACAAAAACGAGAGCAAGAAAAGGAAGTAGAGGAGAAATTACCCAAGCGCCGAAGTCTAAACGCCGTCGGAGAACACATTTTACCGAAGGTAAAATCTTAGATCTAGGCCGATTGAAAGATCTTTAGAGAAAAAGGAGGGTAGATCCGGATTGTGGGTATTTTGATCTACGATTTATGCTGACTTGCGATATTCTGACCACTATGGGTGGTGGCCGGCGACGGTAGAATACGACAGCGTAAGGCTGTCGGTCGGTGACCGGTCTTCCTCAGGCGAGTAAATTTAGAGAGAACCGAGAGGTTCTCTCATCTAGAGAGAGAAGAAAAGGAGAGAAATGGGAGAATGAAGGCCTTAGAGCTAGTTTTAGGGCTTAATACCCTCCCTCGGGGAGGGTATCTTTCTAATTTTAGCATGGGTAAACTACAAGTGTGATCCCTTCAGCTTTATAAACCTTTCAATTTGGTCTCGAAAATAGGTTTTTACGCTTTTTAATTTGGTCTTTTAATTTAGTTTAATTTTATTATAGTCTTATTTATTACTTATATATAATTTAGGTTAAAATTATACATTAATCCCTATAATTCTAAATAATTTACATT